CTCCTCCTCATCATCATCATCATCATCATCATCATCATCATCATCATCATCATCATCATTATCATCATCATCATCATTGTAAATAGCAAGGAATAAAAAGGGTTGAGACTTGTAGATTTTTCAAATTTAATACAGGTTAAACGTTTCGCCCGGTAAAGGGTTTCGTCAGGAACAGGATACAAAAAAACAATGTCATAATCATCATCATCATCATCATCATCATCATCATCATCATCATCATCATCATCATCATCATCATCATCATCATCATCATCCAGTGCCAGATCTTCGGCAGACATCGGCGATCATGGTTCTCCATTCGTCCCTTTGTTCGGATGCTCTAAAAAAAAAGTTACGTTTCCCTGATCTTTCCCCATAACACATTTGTTTAGGTTTCCTAAGTAGGTTGCTCTGGGTCTACCCCTGTCTCGTTTTCCTTCAATTTTGCCGGTGAAAGCTAGATCTAGATGTTTCATAGATGGGGCAAAAACTTCTGTTTTAGCACAATACGACTGATTCTACTCACCACCTTGAAAAACAAAAGCGTTCGGGTTTGAATGTCACTGTCGAATTTAGCTGAATTCGGTCGCATTGTTGTACCAAAATGGTAGCTTGTGCCCTATCCATGAAAGAAAGTCTTGCCGGCCCCGACTTAATCTGATGAATCCGATTGTTCGTGCGCACAGGGCATAAGCAAACAAGCAGTAAGTTGTTTTGCTCTACAGTTTCGTTTCCATGTTTCTCCGTTCCCTATCACATTTAGCAAATGAGATGGGATCTTGTCTGTAAAAGTGTCCAACTTTTGTATGTGTATGAGTTCGTTAACTCTGTGTGCAAGTCTCGAACGTAACATTTGGAATGTGGAGTCCTGGTAGCTCCGTGTAATGAGTAAAAAATAAAGACTAGAGGAAGGAAGAAACGAGGGAAGGAAGTAGAGCTAAATGAATATCATACACGGCATGTAGTAATGCGGAAATATTATTCTCTTGCCGTGCATCCACCGATGTACCACGTCTGCGTTTCTCTCCAGATTTTCTTCATGTGCTGATAAATTGGTAACATTATAAGAAAGTGACAGAATAATGTCACAGTCACACACACACACACACACACACACACACACACACACACACACACACACACACACACATGGGCGCGTGCACACACATACAGACAAAGACCCTCTGTTTTATTAACTGACCATTACCTTCCAAAACTGTTGTTTTTGTTTTAGTAGAGGTTTTACGGCGCTCACAGCTGCATAAGGTCATATAAACGCCAAGGGGTGGATGTCCACAGAGAAGTCTTTACTAGGAATCAGATTTACTCTGCTCACCTCTCTAGCTTCAACAGCACAAAGTCTGCTTCGACTGTCAAGGCACCCCGAAATAGCGGGTCGCAAGAGTGTGGCAAGCATACATAAGAAGAAGAGGAAAAATGACGATAGTAAGGATTAGAATAGAAAACGCAGCAGTTCCCTATATCAGTTCAGGCACAGTTATGAGCATGACAATGTTGAATCAGCCCATTTACAATTTTCTACTGCGCTTAAGAACAAGTTACTGTCCACCCTTTGGGAATGGCCTAAAGACTTCTCAGTCGGTGACACCCCCCCTGAATGAGGGGGAGGGGGGGTTAAAAATTGTTAACAAGTTTGGAAAACACGAATACACGACGAGTCAAGCTACACTGGATGATTTACTTTAAAAAAATAACAACAGCAACAAACAGCCCCTCCCCCCGCAAAAAAAAATAAAATAAAACAACCTAACCAAACAAAACAACCCCCCCCCAAAAAAAACAAAACAAAACCCAACAACAACACAAAAAACAACAACAATCCAAAACAACCCAAAAACAACAACAACATCAACAGTAACAACAACAACAACAACAACAACAACAACAACAACAACAGCAGCAGCAACAACAACAACAACAACAACAACAAAACACACACCCAAAAAAAACGAAAACCAAAAAACAAAAAGCACCTCCCCCCAGAAAATTCTAAAATAATATGATGTCTAAATCTGCTCGAACACCATTAGCAAAACCTCTAACCTCAACAGTTTACTGTGGTGGTTGTAAGCCAGACATTAACTCTTTGAGTCTTTGGACACAGCTTGCCGATATGTGTATTCTTTAGGGCACTCAAAAAAAAATCCAACGTAACTTCGATATTCATACAGATGATCTGATTCTGTTTTCTTTAACTGAAACAATGAAAAGAAGACAACAACATGCAAACTAATGTACATTTTTCTAATTTTTGTGTGATGGTTCGAAATGTAATGCCACATGGCCTCTGCTCTGTAGCTGATGGGGCATATTAATATGTTTTCGCTACATACTTTAAGACTTAAACAATGAAGAATGCATACTTCGGATTCTGATGTTATAAATTTGGCTTTAAAAAAAGTTTGGTAAGAGTTTTACGGCGCTACAACTACATAATGTCATAATATGAGCTCGCGAGATCAAATTTGGCTTGTGGGTATGAACAGAATGATATCCAAAGATATGGACATACCTAGCCTACGTTATTTTGGGGGTTTCTAAATTGCTTTTGTTTCTGTCTTATTTGTCGCACGCTCTCACTAATGCATCCTTGGAATTCCGGACTAGTTCACATTTCGTTCCGAGGTTAACATGAACCCGTTGTGTGAAAAATAGGGCAGATCTTCAACCAGTGATGCTGAGAATGCAACTCTCGGCAAAATTCAAAGCCTATCTCAACTTCTTTCTTTCGTAAACTTGTGACTTTTTCTTTCCAGGTTCAAGGGCTTCTGGTTTATGACAACCTAAACGCAAGTCGGACACAAAAGACGTCGGTCGTCATGGTGACCTAGGAAGCAGACGTCAGAATTTGCCATTCGCCTCGGCGCTATTATCCCAGTGCAGTCTGGAATTATTTCTTTTCTTTTTGTTGTTTTGTTTTGTTCAAGATTAAAAACAGATGGACGGAAGGATCGTTCACAATTCAGAGGAGTATGGATAAAACCCAGTGCTTTTTTGTGCGTGCATCTCGTTGGTATTAGAATCGGCCTTGACCTTTTCAAAAGTTGACCCACAATGACGGCGATGGAGGAGGATGTGGATGACCGATTCGCAGGGATCGATATCGATTCTCTTCTGAACCGGCGATCTCAAGAGAGGAAGCCTTTCAGCTATGGACGGAAGAAGGCGCTTTATGAATGTAAGTCTTCGATACTCGTTCTGACTTTTATTTTGTCTGTTTGTCTGTTTATTTTTTATTTTTTATTGTTCGTTTGTTTGTTTTTATTGTTTTTATTGTTTGTATATTTGTTTGTCTATTTATTTGTATTTATTTATTTATTTATTTATTTATGTATTTATTTATTTCTATTTGTTTGGATATTGCAAAAACCTGTGCCTGGCGTAAAATAATGTGGAATACCAAAGCGGTAGAAGTAAACCCAAGTCTTCCATGAACCTACTTGTTCTAGAAGGCACATCTGGGGTCTCCACCACCAGTGGGACCACAATAAATGGATTTTTAGTAGAGGTTTTACGGCGCTCGCAACTGCATAAGGTCATATGAGCGCCAGAAGATTAGAGGTGTTACATGAGAGTAACAAACATAAAAAAGAAGAAGGGGAGATAAGGAAGATAGATGTTTGATAGGAAAGAAGAAGTAAACCATACCAGAGCACCCGCCAACCACCCACATAATGGATTGTCGTGAAGGTCAAAATAAACTTTTACTGTAACGTTAATGGTTGTTCCCTTTACCAGTGGGATATAAAAGTGCCATAGTGAGGTTGTACGAGTAATAGTGATTTTTGTTTTACGCTCTTCGTCGTCCGGAGGAAGACACTATTGTTGTTGTTTGTTCGTTTGTTAGTTCGTATATTTGTTTGTATGTTGTTTTTCTTTTATTTGTTTGTTTGTTTCTTTGTTGCTGTCGTTGACAAAGACTGATTTAGATTATTTAAGAGGTGAGGAAGATTTATAATGATTATTATCTAATTGAGTGTCCCGTTATTTTTACTTGGGAACAAACCTCAGCCTCCACAGACAAAGTTCAGAACTAATCCTTGATCCTCTCTCCCCCCCCCCCCAAACTGCATTATATCCTAAATCGTATCAACGGGGGCCTAAAATGTTCACACCGACACTTCGCTACTATAGTATCACAAATTTCTATCTGACATTTTACCCCGTTTTGAGTTATTGAGACCACGGGGTCATAAACCAAATGTTCTATCAGCTCTGTCGAAATCGTAAGATTACTCGAAGTGGTCATTAAAACATTCAAAAGAATTGCATTCGAAAAAAACCTGACATATTGTGAAACTCAAAATTTTATACTTCAAATTTCCTCAAAACTAGAAACTAGATAGGGCAGATAGAACTTTGTAATTCCAGGGTAGCGACTTTACGACAAGGATACTCTCACCAGAGAAAAGAAGACGTTTGAGGGCAAGGAAAATGGAAAACCCTCGTAAATTTAGTATAATATTTTAGTTTCTGCGCCTTGACGTATTTCCGGTTCATTACGGACAGCACCATTAGAAGTAAGCGAGGTGCGAATTGAGAAGATGCCGTGTGCACTCACTCGACTATAACGAAACTGGTGTTTTGTCTTTTCGCTAGATCAGAAAATTACTAAGTTCTGTCTGCTCAGTGCCTAGTTTTGAGATGTTTGATGTTTTGAGTTTCACAACAACCTTTTCAAATGCAATTCTTTGAATATCTTGATAACGACTCCGAATAACCTTGCAATTTTGACAGAGCAGACAGAACACAGTTTGGTTTCTGACCTCACGGTCTTAGTAACTCCAAACGGCCTAAAATGTAGGACAGATCTGTTTAATTCTAAGGTGGCGCTTTATAGAAGCAAAATGGTTGCAGCCCATGGTATGCACGCCTTGCAGCTAGCGACGTTTTTCTAGAGTGCAAATAGCGGCGGCCATGATAGTTCTCGATCTAGTGGTATACGTCTTTGGGAAATCCCAAACCCGGCCTGTGTGAGGCAGTCACCTTTATCGTACGTCTTTGCTGTGCTTCCTCGAAGGCTGCTTGTGTTTTATGTCATCTGTGCTTTGTTTCACATCACACCCATACAGATGTGCACACCTTCACGAACATGCGTACGAGCGCACATACACACACTCGCGGGCGCGCACACACTTAGAGAGAGAGGGAGAGCGTGCTTCTCTCTTTCTGTCTGTCTGTCTGTCTGTCTGTCTATCTGTCTGTCTGTCTGTATGTCTGTCTGTCTGTCTCTCTCTC